CATGTGCCCCTCACCTGCCCCATGTGCCCCCAGGGCGAGCAGATCTTTTACCTGGCTCGGCCCTCGGCCGCCAACCTGGCTCTGTTCGAGGCGTGGAGCAGCTCCCGGAACCAGCCCGAGCTGTTCTTCGGGGACCAGGTGGATCGGTGCTTCCGCTGCCACCTGCGCCAGGGCCAGACCCTCTTCATCCCCACAGGTGAGGGGGGGCTTGGGGACACCCCCTGTGTCACCTGTGTCACCTGTGCTGGGGCCAGATCCCCCCCAGTGTCACCTGTGTCACCTGTGCCACCCCCCACACACACCCCCGGTGTCACCTGTGCCAGGGCCAGACCCTCTTCATCCCCACAGGTGAGGGGGGGCTTGGGGACACCTGGGGACACCCCAGTGCCACCTGTGCCACCCCCCAAACACACCCCCAGTGTCACCTGTGTCACCTGTGCTGGGGCTGGACCCCCCCAGTGTCACCTGTGTCACCTGTGCCACCCCCCACACAAGCCCCCGGTGTCACCTGTGCCAGGGCCAGACCCTCTTCATCCCCACAGGTGAGGGGGGGCTTGGGGACACCCCCTGTGTCACCTGTGTCACCTGTGCTGGGGCCAGATCCCCCCCAGTGTCACCTGTGTCACCTGTGCCACCCCCCACACACACCCCCGGTGTCACCTGTGCCAGGGCCAGACCCTCTTCATCCCCACAGGTGAGGGGGGGCTTGGGGACACCTGGGGACACCCCAGTGCCACCTGTGCCACCCCCCAAACACACCCCCCGTGTCACCTGTGTCACCTGTGCTGGGGCTGGACCCCCCCAGTGTCACCTGTGTCACCTGTGCTGGGGCCAGATCCCCCCCAGTGCTCTCCCAGTGCTCTCCCAGTGCCCTCCCAGTGCTCCCAGTGCTCCCAGTGCCCTCCCAGTGCCCTCCCAGTGCCCTCCCAGTGCCCTCCCAGTGCCCTCCCAGTGCCCTCCCAGTGCCCTCCCAGTGCTCCCAGTGCCCTCCCAGTGCTCCCAGTGCCCTCCCAGTGCTCTCCCAGTGCTCTCCCAGTGCCCTCCCAGTGCCCTCCCAGTGCCCTCCCAGTGCTCCCAGTGCTCCCAGTGCTCCCAGTGCTCCCAGTTCCCCGTCCCCAGGCTGGATCCACGCCGTGCTGACCCCCGTGGACTCGCTGGCCTTTGGGGGGCACTTCCTGCACAGCCTCAACATCGGGATGCAGCTGAGGTGGGGCCCGGGGGGCTCGGGGGGG